CCCCAAAACCCCAAAACCCCATTGATCAAAAATAGTTGAGTATCTAAAAAATAGAATTTGTAATTAAAATCATAAAATGAATCCACCAATGTAAAAGAAATCTATTTACTATTCTGCATATGATACAAACAACTTATTTTAAAAATAAGCGTTTGGAAGTGATTAAGGGAATAATGATAGTTATCAGGATAGTATATTTGAAGCACAAAGAAATGGAAGTAATAGCACGCTTTAATCCATAAAACAATTCGAATTTGAAGAAGACAAAATGAATTTTCCAGATGAAGTAATAAGCGACGAATACATAGAAAAATAAAAGCAAGACTAAGAGGTTCTATTTATATTTGGTAATATTTTCTTTATGAATTAATTAGAAAATGTAAAACACCCTGAAGAAGAAAAGAGTACTGAGGAAAGTGATAGTTAAATTACTCAATAAAGATCTTAAGATTAAGTTAGACTATTTGAGGTGGTGAGTTTTAGGGAAAAATATTCTTTACGTAATGAAACCTTTCTATACAAATGCTAACTTTTTAGTATAAAGGATTAAGTTTTATAGAGATCATAGAGAAGATATGGATAAGAAAAAAATGTACCTAATATTGGAGCCTTCTCAAACAAAAGCCTCTTAATAGTTGCCATAATTGGCCAAAAGAAGGTATCTATCTTAGGTTGTAATTCATGTTTAGACTTATGGTAAATCAGGAATATCCTTTGAAAGTATATGAGATATAAAATCACATTAGAAAATAATTGACTAATGTAGAAAAGCATACTTCCATCTTTATCTAAGCCTCTGATTATATCTATAATTAAAAGAAAATGTCTATAGTAAATTATATATATAGTCTTAACTTACTGAGAATATTTTTATAGAAAACAAGGTATATTACATTAAATCACTCAAGTCTTATGATTCATATGTATACTAAATACAGAGATAAGTTTGATGGGCATCTCTATCTAATTTATAGTCTAGAGAATATTTTTGGCTGAAAAATATTTAAGCATTTGGCTGGTAATTTATGATAGCAATTTATAATAATAACGAATTCAATACAAATTGATTGATTTTTATTCAAGTTATTACCTTAAATTTACGAGAACTAGATATCCTTGGGGTTTTGGGGTTTTGGGG